CCACAGATTTCAAGAATCCGAGCAGGTTTTCATCTGAAACTAAGATGTGAGGCTGATCGTCTGTTTTCCCTTGAAGTGCAGCTAGAGAGAGGGAGGATGCAACTCTTGCATAACCAGTGCAATACTTCCCTCCTTTGCACATGTACCCCAAATGTCGCCCCGAGCACTCGTAGAGGAGGAATAGAACAGGCGAGCCCAAGACAATGGCAGCAGGCTGAGAAGACACGGAAAGACTCTTCACTTGCAACTTCAGAGCAGTTCGAGTCTCATTCTGCTGAATGTGCTTCAGGAGAGACACGTTGGTAGGCTGTGACCTAAATACGATCGCAGTGCACTCTGGGTCCTCTTTCAGGACTTCGATGGCTGTCTCAACCGAGAGGGCGTCATCTGAATAAGGTTTGAATATGAGGAACATCAGGAGGTTAACGTCAAATCCTTTCAATATTTTCTTGATGGGTTCGAACTCCTTGAATGGACAATCCTCAACAATGACGATAAAGGGACTTGTTCCCTCTTTACTCTGAAATTCCATCACATTGAGTTCGATTATCTCCTGAAGAGAGATCTCCTTGGTTGAATAATATATAATTTCCATATTCCGATTTTTTCCCCAGCGCTGCCGAAAAAATTCTGGATACAGCTGACCTTGGGGATGTAGGAGAAGGACTTGGTCCTCATGTTCTGCAGCTTGCCTTATCAGCATATCCACATACTTGGATTTTCCCGAAGCTGGGGGACCGAATATACCAATCATCCTGCGTTCAATCGTATTCTCTAAACCTTTTCCAGAACCTCTGAACAGTTTCTCAATTTCCTCATTGTCATCTTCCATCCTTTCATCCTGGCCCATATCCATTTCAGGGAAAGGTTGGGGATATGTTGGTATGTCTCTATAATAATATCCCATGCCTCCCTTCGGAAAGAGAGAAAAATGTGCAAAACGAGAAAATGCTGTCTCCAGCCTTTGCCTGAGATTTCTGTCATTTTCCATGTTTTCCTCGTTGATATTCCATCCATATATATCCTTTGTGACGCGAGAAAACCTCCCAGTTCTCAACTCTTCACCCTCAATTAGTAGGATCTTGTTTCCTGAACCAGTGGTTGCTATTAATCGAGAGTAGTTCATCCACTGCGAATTTGGGAAATCTGCAACTATTATAACGTTCTTTGGATGGCATCCCATCATTTCTTTTTCGGTGACTATGAAAAGGTGGAAGGAGCCGCATTGGGCTGACTTCCCACGCAAGGGCCAACATATGTTATTCCTGTCAGGGTCACTAGCGTAATCAAATTTATAGCTGGAGTCGTGAAAGAGGACAGGAATGGAATCGTATTGGGATGAAATTATGTTCGCAAGAGCCATCTTTCTCTTCTCAGTATCAACCACAACGAAGATGGGAATCGTCTTCGGTGATTGACAGCACTCCTCATAAATGGCATGAATGACGTGTGAGGCCCGAACAGCCTCACAGATCGCCTCATTCTTGCATTCGCGATGCAGAGCCTGACACGATAGAATCGTGAATAAGCGGGGAAGGAATCCCCCGTTGAGGTCCTCCACGTCCATCACCAAGGAACGCTCAGATGACAAGAAAACGCGCCGGGAGAACTCACCAATGGCCTTGAACAATTTCGATATGCGTTGAGTGTTCCTCTTCACGCTTTTGAGAATCGTGACGTTACATGTTTCGGCCAGCTTCATATCCTCGAGGGGGAAATCCCTCGTGTAGGTCTCATCGTAGGGCCTGAAGGAAACAGTGATTGACTTGACATCATTTTCAATGTCTTTGATCCATTTCCAGTGTATGGAAAGGGCCTCTGGCGTAATGACGTCCTGGAATCCTATTGTGATGGGAACCTCATCCATGAGAACATGTTTCCCTTTCCCTTCATTTGAAAGACACTTTCTCAATGCATCAAGATCCTTCTCCAGGTTCTTCTCCCTCCCATCAATGACCTGGATATTCACGTTGTCTACAAGGAAGAAAGGAAGAGCCGACGCTTCGCTATATCCCACTCCTGACAACAGTTGTCATGAGAACGGCTGGGAGGGGAAGGTTGGATGGCATGAGAGGACGAAAGCC